ATAAATCTTTAGATCAGAAAAGTGATGTACACATATTTGTGTGTGTGTGTGTGTGTGTGTGTGTGTATGTGTGTATATGTATATATGTATGTATGTATGTATGTATGTATGTATGTATGTATATATATGTATATATTTTTCTTAAGTTTTCGCAGGTATCTATATGTATGGTATTCAGCTTTGTTCGGGTATTTTCCCACGTCATTATAGTTGTGCTTTTAAAGTTGTAGCAATGTTTCGGCAGAATCTCATCTGCTATCATCAGACTTCTGTATAGTGTTCGTCTTGAGTCAGACTTTCACAGCCGTTTCTGTTTTAAATTTGGTGCTAGCCTACGCTGTGCCAGAATGGTTTTTTCTTCATCCTGATTGGTTGGGAGTCTTGGTCTGTGTTTATTGGTCTTGGAGTTTGCTGTGCTCTGCTTGATTTGTGTTTCTAATATCTTCTGTCTGTTTTGTAGCATTTTTTGATTGGCTGGCGACATTGTGTTCCTGTATTGGGGGCTTTTAGTGCAGCTTGGCTTCGGGTAAATGGACGGCTATCATTTATTAGGAAGCTAGGTTTTATCTGGGTGCCTGGTTGGGGTATATTTGAGCTGGAGGTATCGGGGGGATCTGTTTGTGCCCAGGTGTTTGCTTGGCTTGTGGTATGGAGATTTGTTTGTTTGTGAGTGCAGGCTTCCAGATAATTGACAGTCTGGTGGAGTCATCTCTTCTATTCATGCTTCCAGGTCTTTTTTCAATCTCTATGGCTTCTCTGATAATTCTGTAGCTGGGGTTTTCTATAGCGGCTAGGGTTTTGGTGCCATTGAAGTTGATGCTATGACCTGTGGCTTTCATGTGTTGGACTAGGGAGGAAGTATGTTCCAGCTTTTTTACTGCATTTTTGTGTTCATCCAGGTGGGTACTTATTCTTCTGTTGGTCTGTCTGATGTATGTGGCAGGGCATGATGCACAAGGGACTTCATATATGCCTTAGTTTTCCAGGTCAATCTTATTTTGGGGGTTTCTTAGGATGGCTGCTATTTTTCTGTCTATTTTGAAGGCAGTCTTGATGTGATGACTGTGTAGTATCTTACTGATTTTGTCTGTGGTACCTCTTATGTAGGGCAGGACAGCTGTTCCATAGTCTGTTCATCTTTTAGGTCTCCATTATGTCTCAGTGTGTTTTTGTGGATCAGGCCTGTGATTTTGCTTTTGTGGAAGCCATTGGCTGTCAGTACTTTAGTCAGGGTGCATAGTTCAGTCTTTATATGTGTCTTGTCTGCCAGGCATTTGGTTCTGGCAATTAATGTTTTGGCCATGGAGTTTATTTGTGCTGGGTGGTGGTGGGATTGGGCATTGAGGTAGCGGTTGGTGTGTGTTTTCTTCTGGTATATGGTGTGTCCTAGTGTGCCATCTGTTTTTTTTTTATAGATTAATACATCTAGGAATGGTAGTTGTTTGTTTGTTTCTGTTTCCATGGTGAATTTGATTTTGGGGTGTGTGCTGTTTAGGTGTGTTAGGAAATTGTTTAGGTTTTCTTTTCCATGGGGCCAAATAACAAATGTGTCATCAATGTATCTTAGCCATAGTTTGGGTTTGTGGGTGCCATTAGCTAGGGCTCTGGATTCGAATTCTTCCATGAACAGGTTTGCAATGATGGGTGACAGTGGTGATCCCATAGGAGCTCCTTCAATTTGCTTGTATCTTTGTCCTTTGTATATGAAATATGTGTTGGTTAAGCAGTGTTCTGCCAGTTCCATGAGGTGTTTGGGTGGTTGGTATTTATTTTTGATGATTTCTAGGGTTTCTTTTATCGGGACTTGAGTGAATAGTGAAACCACATCGAAACTTACAAGCAGATCTTTTTGTTCCACGTAAAGATCTTTGATCATTTCCAAGAGGTGGTATGAGTTTTGTACATGTGAAGCTGCTGCTTCAGCATGGGGCTATAGCTGCTTTGCTAGGTATTTGGCTAGGTTTTGTAGTGATGCTCCTCTGGAGCTGACTATGTCTCTGAGAGGTATGCCTTCTTTGTGTATTTTGGGGAGACCGTATAGTTTGGGGTATCTAGAAGATTTTTCTCTTGAGATGACCTTCTGTTGGATCTCTTTGCTCATGTTGCTGGTTATGATTTTCTTCTTGGTTATTTTTTCCAGATATGTGGTTGGGTCTGTGTTTATGGGTTTGTATGTGGAGTCTTGGAGTACGTCTGTCAATTTTGTTTCATAGTCTTTTCTGTCCATTACTACTGTGGCATTACCTTTATCTGCTGGAAGTATGATTATGCTGCTGTCGTTCCTTAGGGCTTGCAGGGCTTTTAGTTCCTCTTTGTGTAAGTTGCTTTTGGGTGATTTGCTTGTGCATAGGATGTTAGTGACTTGGTGTCTTATTCTATCAGCTTCATCTGTATTTAATTTAGTTAGGCTGGATTCCACTCCACATATGATGGATTCTGTGGGGATTTTTTGGGGTGCTATAGCATAACTGAATCCTTTGGTTAGGACATCTGTTTCTGTTTTTGTGAGTTCTCTGTTGGAAAGATTGTATACTAATTGTTTCAGGTTTTGTTGTGAGTTGTTGGGGGCTTTCTTGTCATGTTCTAATTTCTTTAGTTTCTTCAGGAAATTATATATGGACTAGGTGCTAGTCTCCTAGTTTATTTTGGATCTGAACTCAAGATGTGGAGCGGATAACCGAGGAGAATTCTCTATTTGCAGATTATTGATTATTTCCCCCCCATCTCTTGGGATGATATACTTTCTTCAGTTACGTTACAAAATATTATTTTATTGGGAGTATATACTGAACTGTGGACTTCCACAATGAAGCAGATTTTGTTGTCAATTTGCCTAAAAAAAAACACTTGGTGGCTGATCAGCCCCAATAATATAAGCATTAAGCTGATTCAGAGCCACAGTCCATATGGCTCAACTTGCATAAAATGGTGGTCTGTTCTTTCTGAGTCAATACTGAGTCAATCTTGAGCCAGGCAGAATTGAAGTACTGGCAGTTGGCAGAGTTAGAGCCTGCAATACTGCATTCCAACCACTGCGCCACCACGGCTCTAGGTGGTCATTCTCTGAGTTGAGGTTCAAAAGATCTAGGAAATAAGGAAAAAGTTGATCTAAAGGACATTCCAGATTGGGTACAGGCGTATAGTTGGTTTCATCAGAAGATAAAAGCATTTAGAATTATTAGAATGTGCCAACTTCGGAGAGAAATCCAAGACCCTGTAAGTCTAGGTTGAATAAGCCATTTAATATGCTGTAGAACCAGAGCTCTCCTTGAAGATGTAAGAGGACAACAGAATCGAGAGATAGGATTTTTATTGTACAAATTATCATGGTCACATGATGATTTTGGGCTGCATAGGAAACATTGTTGGATGGGTAAAGGTCCTCAGTTGTTCTCTGTTTAAGTTAACTTGTTGCAATACAGTTAATTAGTAAGGGCTTAGGGAAGGCTTATCATGAATCTAATTACAGTGCTGAAAAGCTTTAATAATATTCTTACTCTGAAACGTGATGCTATTTACATATTTTACCATGACATGACCATGGATGGCTCACAGCCCACTGTGGAATCCCACAGAAAAATACACAATATCTCTATGTAGCACTGAAGTAATAGTAACACTACTCACAGTGGTAGTTAAATTTGTTATCTTTGCCAGTGGGATGGTGATGATAGAAAAAGTATCTGCCTTTGAACTTTGAGAAAGGGGAACTTTTTTTCAGTGCAAAATTAGAAATAGCCTCACAAACTCTGTTCAAAGCAGCCAACATAACTCACAGTTTGGGCTCACTGTCATTATGCTATAGCTATAAGAAGTAGTGAGAGAGAATGGGAAGCTAAATCAGAGTTATACATCAGAGCTGAGGAACCAGCATCACACCTATTAGAGAGTGAAGTGGTTTCCTCATGGTAGAAGTTGTAGGCAGTTGTTTGCAAGAGACCAGAAGCATGGTTTAGCTAGGATTGGAGCTTGTGACTGAAATTTTGACTGAAAATTCTTACAATAGTCACCCAGAAAATGGAATGGAACAGTAATGAATGTACCCTTCAGTTGGCCACTGGAACCTCCTGGATTTTTGCTCTGAAGTCCAACCATATCTATAATATTGCTTCCAACTTCTTTCAGTTCTTCTTTTCCTCTTAAAATAAACCAAAATGTTTAAAAATGCTATTCATTTTATATTATGGTTCATTGCAGTGTCAGCCAGATGTTTAGACTAGATTTGGCATTTTTATCCACCTATCGAGTCCTTCCCAAGGACCTGAGAGATGTAGATGTTGTTTGATGGTGTTATTACCACAGGATGTATGTTGTTCCAAATAAAGCTGCCTTTTGCAATTGACTGATAGTGATTTTGTCAATGCTGATGGTGTTTAGGTGATGCTCCAGATGCTCTATAATTGCACTTATTACTATTGGTATTATCTTTGCTTTCATTTGCCACATCATTCCACTTCTATTTGTAGGCTTTATATTTTGTGATTTTCTCTTGTTCTTTCTCTTCTTTTCTGCTGTCTCAGGTACAAACATCTCCATTATCCAGACTCTTTGCCTTTCTTATTGATAAGCTTTAAGTCTGGGGTGTTATGTGGCAGGTTCTTATCTATTTGAATTGTAAAGTTCCAAAGCACTTTTGCTTCTTCATTTCTATTAGCTATTTTATGGTTCCATTACTTTTTCTTGTAATAGTAATGGTATTTCTTACAGATATTTCAATGCTCCATTGTTGCTATTTTGTTGTGCCATCATTTGTAGTCAGACTGCACAATCTTGCAGCAGCTAACTAGGTGCTTCACTGGTGGTTTACTCAGTTTATTTGCAGAGGAGGCCGTTGCTGTCTGTGCTGTCTTCCCAATTCTGAATTTGTATGCATTTGATTTTGATCTTGTGCAGCCAGAATTAGCCTCTCTTTCTTCAATTTTCCTGCTCTTAGACATTGCCAGATCTTGTTATTATATGCCTTGCTTGCTATTTTTTAAAAAATGTACTGCCCATATAATACTTTATTTTATAATCTTCATTATTTTTATTTATTTATATTTCACATTTCGGAACCATCCATTTTCCTCATTATTTTGTCCTTTAAAACAGTATGGATTTCCAACTTAACATGTTAACTAATCAGGGAAACAAACTCCATTTTATTCCTATAATTATGTCATGATGCCACAGGAATTTAAAATATGCAGTCACACAGGCAAATTATATACAAAATGCTGAATGGGATTGGGGAAAACCATATTTTGCATAATCATGTAAGTGGTTGAGCAGGTGAGTGCATGAAGCTTCGTTTGCGCATGCGCAGGAACTAGGTTGCGTACACAAAATAATCCCCTCCCTCCCTCTTGCCACTCTGCTGCCACCAGTCCACGGAGCAAGAAAGTTTGGGGACTGCTAAAGGCAGAATCAAGGAAAAAAAGTTAGCTGGTTTTACCTCTGCTAAAATATTGAGTTCTATGCTGTAGGCAATATGGCTTACCTTCTCGAACCACCCTGTTGTAGAACCCTAATACATTGTCACTAAAGTGAAAAGAGGGGATATTATTTTGTCCCTCTGCCTCCTTTAGCAGAAATGATAGGTACATAAAAGCCAGGAAGTCCTGCTCGGGCAAGTTTTTACCCCAAGAATTGTTAGAATTCTTTCAGTTCAGGTGAGTTCAGTGCGGGGAGCAGAATTGTTTAACTCTTATAGCAAAAAGGCATCGGACTAAAGATCCCTGCTGCTATTAACTTTACCTGGGCACCAGGGCAAGGATATATTTATGAAAGTAAACAGTAAAAAAAATGTTTTTATGCAAGCAATAAGAAGCCTATATCCTTTGATTATTAGAGGGTATTTCCAAAGGCATTAGGCTCCAATAGAGCGAGAGTCTCCTTTTGGTTTTTTTCTTGCATACTTGGCCATCATATTATATTTTATATTTTGTATAAGTGGTAGTTTTGTTTCTTTTTTAATTTTTAATGTTTTTATGCTTTACACTGCCCAGAGTCACACTGTTTGAGTTGGTTAGGCTTATACATCTTAAAATATTAATAAATGTGCAGAAGATTCCATAAAGTACATTTTACAATAAAAGTGAGAGTTGAAAATGAAAACACTGGAATTTTTAACAGAGTTTTTTTCTATTTCTCCTTCAATAGTAACCATGCTAGAGTCTCTACAATGCATAGAACAGTCATGAATATCTGCTGTTTTACAACATCATGTGTTCCACATCATTTGGGGGAATAAATGTTTTATTGTACTTTTTAGAACAATTTGCATTTCTTAAGATTCATGATAGTGTCTGAAATAGTGTAGGGTACACATATATGTGTCATTGATTTTCATCCATCAGCTTTAAGTATAATTAAGTATTGGTTTAACCATTTTATTTTATTTATTTAGGCAAACAACAATCATATAAACTATTCAACATGAACACACAACCCAGCATATATGCTCCTGTCTGACAGATGAATATTCTCATTCACCAATAGGGTACTCATAAAATATCGGCACACCTTGGGAGGTAAGGTTTGACAGCATATTAGCAATGGATAATTTTCCTCTAGGTTTCCCTTTTTTCATTAGAAGCACCTTACATTTCAGCATCTTTTGCCAATCTTAAAAATTTCTATTCAGTTCAGAGAATGTAAGAGTTTAGAAACACTCTATGGTATTTTGTACATTAAATTAGAAATAAAAAGCAAGAACTCCATAAAGAACAATTGACCATTAAACAGAGACTCCCACAGACAACCACACGCTTTACTAAATGTACCAAAATAGATCTGCTACAAAAGTAAATTTGACCAAATACCTTTGGATAAATCTCAGATCTCAGCAGCCAAGTGGTTAAACATTTATGATTTGATTTTATCTCAGCTTGGAATGTCGTTGGAGTGTCCCACTTCTGACAACTGTTTGCTAAGTTAAAGCTTTAATGTTTACATAGCACTGAATGAAGCAGCCTGGTCTCCAGATGTGAATGCTTCCTTAGACCGGTGCTTTCTATCAGATCACCATCCTAATGGACCCTGCTCCAATCTTCTTCCTTAGGACGTCCACCAGTCTTTGCAATCTGGAATGGAGGAAGGGGTGGGGGGAGGAAGAAAAGGAAACTAATATTAGGAATGTCCTGACTGAAAAGAGACAGTGTTTGCTCTGGACCAATACAACCCAGGGGTGGTCATAGAAGAAACAAAGCATTACTGTAACCGAGACAGGCTCCCAAGGCAGAATGCAGACAATTTGTAAGAAACTTTTAACCTACAGCCTTGTCACAGTCAGAAGAGGGTGTTAATTCATCTTCCACTCTGTGACAAACACAATATCTCAGGCTCTCATGTCTCTAGGTTTACACAGCATTTTGACAGTTTGTATGTGAAGCTTCTTGTAGAGATGCCATTACACAAGCAACAACTTCCAAATTCATGGTACATGTACGTGGAGGGAAATATGTAAGTATATACATTGCTGCCCTGTTGGTGATTCTTAAACATGGAACGTCTAATTAATAAAGCATTACGCCTTCATTTCTGCCTCAACTGCATATGAGCTTTAATTGGATGCTCCCTGAAATGTACATTTTCCTACATGTGATTATGTAAAGTTGAACCTGAAAATGTGATTATTAATTATACTTTTACACTGTTCAGTAAGAAGAATTTGGTGGAGAGTGTTGAATACTAGCACAAAAACTCTACAGATGATGTAGTAGTTGAAGTGCAGTATTGCAGGAAAACTCTGGAATTCGATCCTGACAGGGCTCAAGGTTGATTCACTCTTCCATCCTTCTATAATACTGCTACACTGTAAATCATCCAGAGAGTGCTGTAAAATGCTATGGGGCGGTATATATAAGCCTAAACATGATTGCTATTGTTATAGAGTTACAATTTCTTTCTATCTCCTACCGTTAGTTAGCCTTCTCTAGCTTGATACTCTATGGATGTGGCAGTATTTACCAGGCATGATGGAAGCTAAAATCCAATATCTCTGGAAGGCAACATGAGGTGAATTATTATTCTACCACCATGTTTCTCAATCTTGGTCACTTTTAAGAGGTGTGGATTTTTTCTCCCAGAATTCCCCATGCTAATTGGGGAATTCTGGGAGTTGAAGTCCCCACCTCTTAAAATGGCCAAGGTTGAGAAACATTGTTCTACTGTAAGCACTGGTACTGCTATATCTTGTTGCCCATTCTTACCATAGGTTTTTAATTCAATTTCCAATACTATAGGGAAAAGAGCAATTACATTTTTCTTTCAGCTTTCCTCCCAATTCTTGAGTATTTATTTATTTAGGTGCCTTTAAGTCTTCTGATAACTGACAGATCCATGCAGAAGTGGTTTGACACTGCTTTTTTCCTAGGGCTGAGAGAAAGTGATTGGTCCAAAGTTACCATCTTAGGTTGGGGATATATGACACAAAACTAGTTTCCCATCATTTGATGAAGTTATGACACATATTTCAGCATTTTTTTTCCTTGCAGATTGCCATATTCCCAAATTGCAGATTCCCATATTTCCAAATGTAGTAAAAACCAATTATTTTAAAGAACATACATGGTTTTAATTTGACTATTCAGTTCTATAGTATGTCATGTTGCTGTCGCAGTTCCTTCACGAATCTTTTCATAATCTCTCTTGCCTGCATTATGATGTACATGAGTATTTTTGCAGTGATGAAGAATATGTAAATGATACAAGCACATGAGTCTACTAGTCCATGAAATTCTCAGTCATTCAGGGCATGGTTGTCCCAAAGGTGCTTTTTTCAAAAGATAATTGGACTTCGTTTTTCCTTGCAGATGCTTCGCTTCTCATCCAAGAAGCTTCTTCAGTTCAGAACAGAAGCTTTATTCAAGAAGCTTTTTGAATAAAAAGTGAAATGTCTTAAAGGAAAAACAAATCCAATTGCCTTTTGAAAAAAAAAAAATCACCTTTGGGACATGAGTCAACCCTTTAGCATTTATCTACTTTTTGATGCGTCAGCAGACAATGGCCCTTCATGATCTCTGCTAAAAGGATTTTCCAACTATTTCATCTGAAATGACTGGTAACTACTTGACGTCTTTAGCAGGCATAGCAAACTATGGACAAAATAGTGATAAGAATGTTTTGCAACTCTAGATTTTTCTGCTTTATATACTGAGTATGGGGTGAAGGAAAGAGCAAAGCTGAAGCAATATACTGTCAGTTCATGCTGATATTTGCACATGTTATCCATTTTTCTATTAGTTTATGGGAAAAAAAACTGGAATGTGTTCTAATATGGATTTAAAGTGTTTTTCCCCTCTCAAAATATATAGTTTAAATGGGCACTTTGAAATATTGGATTATGGAGAACTCTGTTGTTATATTTGGAAAAAAACACAATACCAACTGGTATCTGGTTGCTGATATGTCTGAGATGAAGATTAACTAATTTTGTATATAATCCTTCTAGAAAAACCTATCAGAGCATGATTAAGAAAAGTGAAAACAATAGAGCAACATTTTAGTCCTATTTCAAATAATATATCTGATCTTTGTTAAGCTTGTTATTTCATTCTGAACAGCAATAAATTGATGGTTGATGTCAGGTTTTTATACTTTGATACTATGATAATTCGAAATGTTTGTAGGAACAAATGATGTTGGAAAACTGATCTACATCTATGAATTGAACATATTTTGGTTGATATTTTAATAATTATGAACTCCTTTATCTGTGCTGTACAACTTTTTCTGAAGATTAATTTTTATGTGGCATAAAAATACCCATGAACAAAAATGAGCATGAATCTATCGTTAGTATAGGAAATTAAATATACAACACTTTTTGTGATTTGTACAACTTCCTGGCAGTTAAGCAGAAACATTAATATAATATGAAAAGGAATTCCACTCTCATTGCACAAACAGAGAACTTTTAAGGACTAATAGATGAGAAATAGAGATCTACAACAATTATTCCTTAAAAATATACTATAGTTCTTACTACTTTTCATGATGCAAACTGAAACAGCAGAGGTATACAATATATGTGGAAACTGTAACTTTTTTTCAGGAGATACTAGCTTGCCTACAACTTTTGTAGCATTATTCAGAAAACCTCTAGCTTTTCTTACAGTTGGGTATAAATATACTAATCCAAAAAATAATTATAGAGGAAAGGCAGCGGAAAATGTAAGAGAGTTTTTCAGTAACAGAATATGATGCCAGATATGTATTTAATTATATTTTTCATATTCTCTATATTGCTGAAGATCACTGACTGGACTCAAAGAATTACAGGGGTAGAAGAAGGTCACAAAGTTGAGACTGTGCTTATAGTTATTTAATTTTGAGCATTCCTGGTGAAAGCATAGATGAGCAATATTATGCTTGTCAATGGCCACATCTATTCCTTCTACCCTCTTTTGAGGAAACAGCTAGGGTGACAGGAGCACATCACATATTTGTCTGGGTCTTTTTCCTCCCCAGGTTATTTGTTTAATTGTTCATTTTTAAAGTAATCTATTCTAAAAATAAGTTTGGTAAAAATTGTTGATATGCTATTGAAATTGGCTTCCATCACCTTGGAGCTTCCCCAAAATATTCTATGGGCCTCAGTAAGGTGAAAAACTAAACCTAAAAATGGAAATTGTGCCCCTCTCCCTATCGTTCAGATATTTCAAGGGTAAAACCTCTCTTTGCCTAATCCTATCACATGCAAACTGACTCTCCATGTCCCTGACAAAACCCCTCCTGCAACCCTACCTAAACCAAAGAATAGAAGCCCTTATCAGCTCACAGAACAGCCCAATGATAAAAAAAAAGAAATTGTAACCTAGAGAAACTCCAACCTTGCATCTTCTATCAGCTGATGAGTCCAATATTCCGTCTCCTTAACAGCTTTGGTGCCCTCTTGAAAGGCTCACTTTTGTAACTGCAGAACTCACCCTGTGCACACTGCCAAGGATCTACCTAGCTTGCCCAAACTGGTCAGCCAATCAGATGACTATGATTTCCTGCCTTATAGTCCTCAACTTCTATAAAATTTGTTGCTTTCCAGTAGTTTAGGGTGTCTCTTTCTTGTAAATCAGTCACCTAACGATCATTAGTACTTTTCCTCAGTGCTGTGATCTTACTTTGGCAAAATCTATAACACGCTAGTGCATACCAAAATTAAAGGCATCAGGTAACAATTAACAGACATCTAAGATCTGGAGGATTATCATCCAAGTCATTAATATTAGACTAAATATGTAACTATTTTGGGATTTATGTCTCACTTAATCCCTATCTTCTCATGAAGTTGGCACTCTTTATGTCCCTTGTTGTTTTTATCATTAACATATATGTACAAAACTATCTTCATTCCATCAGAAGGAAGGCCATTGATTCTACATGAAGCCCAAAAGGAACCTTTGGTAATATTTGCCAATGAATTTCAATACTATTTGAATTACACATCTATTAGAATATAAGGAATACAATAACTTAACCCAAGAACCTAGAACATAAATGGAAAGACTTGAGACAAGGCAGAATAGAGTTGTCTGTGTTTGAAAATAAATACCCACTGGATGAAAGTTGCTGTCTTCTGTTTAACTTTGAAACTGTCAGGCCTCATTGAAAATAATGAGGCTTAACAATCATGGCTCTTGCTCTTTAAATGAATGATGATGGCTATAATCAGAATAGGGTAGGCCACACCACATATAAGGAATGCAAAGCCACTTTGCTTTTTGTTTTATTTGGGAACAGGCATGTATATTTTTGAGGGCTAACTTTTTAAAAAAGTGAACCCAAATTAGAAGCAGATTATCAAAATAAGCCAAATCTCAAATACCATATACTCTCTACTACATGTAAATTCCATTTAAAGAGAAGGTAGGGATTTAAAATTCGTAGCACTGACCTATCCTGACACTATTCCTATTTCTCCCTTCCCCATTATCTGGCTCAAGGTGTCACTATAACTTTCTCCGGGGATCCCAGGCTACTCATTCTTCCATTCTTCTTTTGTTCCATAGTCTAATTCATGGTGTATTTTGCCTGTGCGAGGAAAGAGTTACAAGAGAGTATATTCCATAGCATGGCCACGGCATAG